ATCCCAAAGATCATTAGTGCTTAGGAGGGAAAGGGAAAGGGGAAGCTTTTATTTGCGGGGCATTGAGTTTATGCTAATGGTGGTGGAATATTTTGGAAAAGGATTGCAATAATGGTGGCACAATATGTAAAATGTCACCAATGTCCCTGAACTGTAAATGGGGAAGTTGTTATGTTGGCGAATGTCTTGTTGTGTATGTTTTCATCACAATAAAAGTAAAAAGAAGAAGGGAAGGGAGAAAGAAAGGAAGGAGGAAGACAAGCAGGTAAGTAAACAATTCCACAATGGTTTGGTTGCCAACATTTAGTAAGCACCAACTATTGTCAACGGCACATAACAACAACAACAACAATTGGCAAAGGAGCTCTGGTGCCAGTAATGGATGAGAGATTTGACTGCTAACCAAAAGTTTTGCGGTTCATACCCACTGGCTGCTTCGCGGCATTTAGATGAGGCAATCCACTTGTGTAAAGAGTTACATCCTTCGAAGCCCAGTGGGGGTCGCTATGAGTCGCAATCCACTTGATGGTAGTGGGGTTTTAACCATAGGCAAGTGCCTGTGATGTACAGAGGGAACTACAAGAATAAAGTAGCATCCCTGCATACCCATAACTTTCACTTTTTAGTGTCAATAATTCCAAGATTACAGTTGCGTTTTCCCGGTTCTCTCTTTCCTCTCACCCCTCTTCCATATCTCCTGAGTTACGGCTCCACCTCTTCCTTTCCTTCGCCACCCTCTCACAGGATACCGCTGGCTATTTCCCGCGCTCCTGCCTCCGGGAAAGGATTAGTGCTTGCTAGCGCTTCGGCAGCAGCAGACATGCGCAAAGGGGGCGGTGCACTGCGCATGCGGGAACATGGCGGGAGTGACTGTTGAACAGTAGTGGGTCACCTTCTTCATCTCGCTTCTTTGTTAACAAAGCTCAGGTTCCTGGGTCGTGACGCTTTTGTTTGCAGGGCGACCTAGGCAGGCGGCGCCTCCGAGGAGTTCCGGGATCTGGTTCGTGCTTAGCCTCCGGACACCCGCGTGTTGGAGGCGGCGCTCGATCCGAGTGGGAGAAGGCGGGAGAGTGCGCGGGGTGCGAGGGGCGAATGGCTGCTTGGCTCGGCAGCATGAGTCAGCAGCGGCCAGCGAGGAAATTGCCCAGCCTTCTCGTGGACCCGGCGGAGGAGACCGTTCGCCGCCGTTGCCGAGACCCCATCAACGTGGAGGGCCTACTGGTAAGCCACAGGACGGCATTCTGTCCTGAACCACCGGGGCTGTGGAGTGGGAGGTCTCAGGCACAGAGCCCTCTCTGAGAGGGAAGCCAGACTGATCGTCGTCTGTGTTGTGAACTCCCCCAGGGCTGGGACTGCGGCTCCTAGTGCCCATCACGTACTTTGAACCAGCCTGGCCTGTCTGCTCATAAATGTGTTGTCACCTTTCGTGGATCTTGCCTCAGGCGCCAGAACACTTCGGCGAAAATTGCACAGCTTCGCATTATAAATGCATGTTTGTCTACATGAGCTGGCCCCTCCATACATCTTTGCAACTTATCATTTGTTTTTCTCTTTTAGCCGTTTCTTCCATTCTTCCGCGTAAATGCATCCATTTACATCCTTGTCCACACCTCACATTTCTCACTCCACAGCTCTCCATTCTGTGAATTATCTTCTGTCCTGTTTCACAGAGAAAATGAGACCTTTGGCTTATTTGCTCTGTTCTTATTCTAGGCTAGAAGTTATATTCTCTGTGGTTCTAAGAGATGGAACCGTTGTTTTCTATTTCACCCCTTGTTTGCAGCTTGTCTGCTGGCTAGTTTCTGTAACTTCTGATAGGCAAAGTACTGAACAACCCAGTTTTTCATGCCAACTGTGAGGAATCCTAAGAGATGGGTACTGTTACTCTTTTTGGTGGTGCTGTATGCTGTGGAGTTAATTCAGACTGATAAAAGCCTGTAGGACAGAGTAGAACTGCCCCATAGGGTTTCACAGGCTTTAATCTTTTTTTTTTTCCCCTCCCCTAAGATACCTATTCTGTAATTTTAACATGTGTTGTAATTAAATTCTCAGGCATACAAAATAACAAATCAAATGTGCTTCCATGAACCAGGTTGTAATCTTTAGGTAAAGAGATCACCAGGTCTTTTCGCCCATGGAGCCACTGGGTTGGTTTGAACCACCAACGTTTCTGTTAGCAGCTGAGCATTTAAACATTGTGCCACCAGGGCTCCTTATTCTTGTTTTACAGTTACTAAAACAGACTTGGAGATGTTAAGTGACTTGATGACTTAACCTTAGAATGTCTCACTCCAGATGATTATTTATTTATTTTGACTTTTTATTGTGATTTGAGTATGAAAGGTTACAGAGCGAATTGATTTTCTATTCATCAATTCATACACATTTTTTTTCCCCCAGTATTTGTGCATTTTTTTCCTTTCTTTCCCCTTCACCCAAGTTAGTATGTGTCTGCCCTCTAGTTAGTGGTGTACTCTTCCTTCCCTACTCACCCCTGGTAACCATCAAAGAATATTCTTTTCTTTTGTGAAACCCTTTTTTTGACTTTTTACAATAGTGGTCCCATACTATATTTGTCCTTTTGTGAATGACAAATTTCATTCAGCATAATGTCCTGTAAGTTCATCCATGGTATGGCTGTTTCTCTGATTCATCATCAATGAATCATACATTGCATAGTATTCCATTGTGTGTATGTACCGTTGTTTGTTGATCCATTTGTCTGTTAATGGACATTTAGGTTGTTTCCGTATTTTTGCTGTCATAAATTATGCTGCAGTGAATGTGGTTGTGCTACAGTGAACATAGGTGTGCACGTATCTGTTCTTGTCATGGTTCTTATTTCTCTAGGATATATACTTAGTAGTCGGATTGCTGGATCATATGGTCTTCTTATTTCCAGCTTTTTAAGGAAACACCATACCATTCTCCACAGTGGTTGCACCATTTTGCAGTGATATCAGCAATGTTTGAGCGTTCTAGTCTCCATACCCTTGCCAGCATTTACTGTTTTCTGGTGTTTTGAACTTTGCTGGGGTGAGATGATAACCTCATTGCATCTCTCTAGTAGCTAATGATCACAAGCATTTCTTCATGTGTTTTGTTAGCTTTCTGAATGTCTTTGGTGACAAGTCTGTTCATGTCCTCTACCTTTTTTTTTTACACTTACTGTGGTTTGGGTGCAAATTTACAAAGCAGATTCATTTTACTCTCAACAGTTAATGCACATTTGGTTTCACAGCCCCAGTTACAGTCCCAACAATAAAAAGCTCTCCTTTCAGGGACTACCCCTTTCCTGTGTCTTCTTATCCATGCATTCCTATCTGTCCAACTTTCCCTCTATGCAAATGCTGCTCTTCTGATGTGTCTCATGGTCGATTGGTCCAAAGAGTCCATCTCCCTGGGGTGGTGTTCTGCTTGTAGGCCTTGCTGCTATTTGGCTGTGAGCTAATCCATGGAAGTGAGTCCAGTTCTAGGCCTGAAGGATGACTCAAAGCCATAGTCTCAGGTGTTCCACCAGTCTCTATCAGACCAGTAATTCTGGTCATTTTCGTGTTCTTGAATTTTGTTCCACATTTTTCCTCCCACTCTATCCAAGATCCCTAATTTGATCCCTTTCTGAGTGGTTGGCATTGGTAGCCAGGCACCATCTAGTTCTTCTGGTCTTAGGGTCATAAAGGCCATCACATCCTTGGACTAATTGTTTCCAAATGACTTGGATTTTCTTCACTCTTCTTTGCTCTAGATGAAGGGAACCAGTAGTTGTATCTTAAATGGTCACTCAAAAGCTTTTAAGACCCCAGTGGATACTCACCAACACCCCAGTGGATACTCACCAAAGTAGGATGTAGAACAAGATTTTTATGTACGGTATTGTACTAATTGACCTTGATATCCCTTGAGACCATGGTCCCAAGCCCACAGGCCCAGTGACTCTCTCCCTCAAGGTGCTTGGTTGTCGCTGAGAAGCCACTTCAACCCTGTCCCCTGTTACTTCTTTAATGTATGTGGATATTTTTGTAGCACAAATAGATGTGTAAGAGTATCTTCAACCAAATCTATCCATGGTCTTAGTTATATTCCTGTTCCCCTCTCCCCACCTGGTCTTCTCACCTGTCTGTGTATTTACCCATAGCCAAGTGTTTGCTGCCACTGGTAATGAAGTATCATGCGTGTAATAATATTTGCCTCTGTTGTCAGTATCTTTTGTGTGGATTTCTGTGTCTTCCTTTTCCCAATTGTCACTGTGCTGGTCACATACTTTTATTATACTGCCTTTTCCTTCACCCAAATCAACACGTGACTCTTAACTAGTCAGAAATTTTCCCTCCCCTTTTCTTCTATCCCTGGTAACCAACAAAGTAAATTTCCTTCCCTGCATAAACCTTTGACATTTGGTGTTGAGGTCAGTAAGAGGGCTGAGGGTGGTGGAATGTCTGGCGTCAGAAGAGCAGCCATTGGGCTGCTGATGGTGATTCTCTCCTCCTCTTGTGGAGTTAGAGAAGGTCAGAAGATGCTGCCTCCTTGCTCTTTAGGCAGTTGGTGTCAGAAGTAGTGGGATTTGTTGCAGTGGTCCCAGCCACTCCTCGGAAGGAAGGTTGGGCAATCCTACTTCTGTAGTGATACTGCCTCTGAAACCCAAGGAGGGGTCGCTATGAGTCGGGTTTGACTTGAC